TTATCAGTTTTGGGTGATGTAGATCACCAAAAATGGGGTAGAGGAATTCATGGTTTGGTGATTAAAATGGGGTTTGATTCGGTTGTTTGTGTGTGCAATACTCTTTTGAGAATGTATGCAGGCGCGGGAAGATCAGAAGAGGCAGATTTGGTGTTCAAACAAATGCCCACTAAAGATTTGATCTCATGGAACTCTTTGATGGCTTCTTTTGTCAACGATGGGAGGAGCTTAGATGCTTTAGGACTTCTTTCTTCAATGATAAGAACTGGAAAATCAGTGAACTATGTGACTTTTACAAGCGCATTGGCTGCTTGCTTTAGTCCTGATTTTTTCGATAAGGGCAGGATCCTTCATGGACTTGTAGTGGTCAGCGGTTTATTTGACAATCAGATTATTGGTAATGCATTGGTTTCTATGTACGGAAAGATAGGTGGGATGAGCACATCCAGACGGGTACTATTACAGATGCCTAGACGAGATGTAGTAGCTTGGAATGCTCTTATTGGTGGCTATGCTGAGAATGAAGATCCCGACAAGGCACTGGCGGCTTTTCAAACTCTGCGAGTGGAAGGTGTTTCTGCAAATTATATCACAGTGGTAAGTGTTCTTAGTGCTTGCTTAGTGCCCGGTGATTTGCTTGAATGGGGGAAACCATTACACGCCTATATAGTTTCTGCTGGATTTGAATCGGATGAACACGTGAAAAACTCGCTTATCACTATGTACGCAAAATGTGGTGATCTAAACTCGAGTCAGGACCTATTTAACGGATTAGATAATAGGAGTATCATCACGTGGAATGCTATGCTTGCGGCAAATGCTCATCACGGTCATGGAGAAGAGGTGCTAAAACTTGTATCAAAGATGAGAAGCATTGGGTTGAGTCTAGACCAGTTTAGTTTCTCTGAGGGACTTTCTGCCGCTGCGAAGCTAGCGGTCCTAGAGGAAGGCCAACAACTTCATGGCTTAGCTGTAAAACTCGGGTTTGAACTTGATTGTTTCATCTTTAACGCTGCTGCAGACATGTATAGCAAATGCGGGGAAATAGGCGAAGTGGTGAAAATTCTTCCTCCATCAGTCAATCGATCACTCCCCTCATGGAACATACTAATATCAGCTTTGGGAAGACACGGGTACTTCGAGGAAGTTTGTGAGACTTTTCATGAGATGCTTGAAATGGGAATCAAGCCGGGCCATGTCACATTTGTCTCTCTTCTTACAGCATGCAGCCACGGGGGATTAGTAGACCAAGGCCTTGCGTATTACGACATGATTGCTAGAGATTTTGGATTAGAACCGGCGATTGAACATTGCATCTGTGTAATTGATCTTCTTGGAAGATCAGGGAGGTTAGCTGAAGCTGAAACCTATATATCGAAAATGCCAATGAAACCAAACGACCTCGTGTGGCGTAGTTTGTTAGCTTCCTGCAAAATCCACAGGGATTTAGACCGCGGAAGAAAAGCAGCGGAAAATCTCTCGAAGCTAGAACCAGAGGATGATTCTGTTTTTGTCTTGTCCTCAAATATGTATGCAACAACAGGCAGATGGGAAGATGTAGAGAATGTGAGAAAGCAAATGGGTTTCAAGAACATCAAGAAGAAACAAGCTTGCAGTTGGGTGAAACTAAAAGACAAAGTGAGTTCGTTTGGTATTGGAGACAGAACTCATCCACAAACAATGGAGATATACGCAAAGCTAGAAGACATCAAGAAGTTGATCAAAGAATCTGGGTATGTCGCAGATACTAGTCAGGCTTTGCAAGACACAGATGAAGAACAAAAAGAGCACAATCTTTGGAACCACAGCGAAAGACTCGCTCTTGCTTATGCGCTGATGAGTACTCCTGAAGGTTCTACGGTTAGAATCTTCAAGAATCTTCGCATATGCAGTGATTGTCACTCTGTTTACAAGTTTGTTAGTAGAGTCATCGGACGTAGAATCGTGCTGAGAGACCAGTATCGGTTTCACCATTTTGAGAGTGGTTTGTGTTCTTGTAAGGATTACTGGTGAAAGAAGAGGAAGCTCGATTACGACTCTGTACAGTAGCTAGCTGACAAAGTTTCATTATAGGATTCTTTGGTTGAGGTTTTGGGTTTCAACAGTTTTGGAACATTACTCCAAGATTCTGTTTGTAGACAGTTATTCTGTTGTAAGAAATGGAATAAAATTGGTTTTAGAATTTGCAATTTCTCGATTGGAGGTGAAAGTGGCCATGCGACTTATTCAATGACAGATAAGATCAGACTACTCTAAGATTTCTCTGAAACCTTCACTGAGTGAAAGAAAAAAAGAAACAGATTTCATTAGTTATTGAGTCATAAGAAACACTCAGCTTGTGTTCAGCAACAAACTATTTAAAGATCCAAAGTTTTACAACAAAAAACAAATCTTTAAGAGACTGCAAATGCCACGAAATTCCCGTCTTAAGCGCATGTTTGTTGCTAGACTATGCTAGGAGTTACTCGACTTCAGCAAGGTAATCATCGATCTCCGCTGGTGTTAGTACCCTGCATTAATCCCAAAAAACCAATTGAGTATCAACAACATTCTATTCAAACATCAGTAGCAGCAACAACTATTCTTGGTGTTAAACAAAAAGGGTACCTGAAAACTTTGTCAGCACCAATTTTGCCAATCTCAATATTTTTGCTTGAGATCTCTCCCTCAAAGCTATCAAAAGTAAAAAACAAAAGACAAATGAGGTGAAGGCTTTTCGGCACAGAGTATGAAGACTAAAGTTACACATGTATGTATATGTGGGTGTGTTTACACACCCTGTGCTTTCATTATAAAAGACAGTGCTATGCGTTTGGTAATCTTAACAGCAACAAGACTGGTAACTTTCTACTAATGAATGATCAAGAGACCTTGAATCTGTAGATTTGTACTTACCCTTCTTTCAATGTCAGTATCGCTGTGTGAATGGCATCGTCAAGTTCCATGTCTTCTGTGTACCTGCAAGGAATTCGTGGTTGGTTAAGTTTGGTCAGCGAAGAAGAGTGGTTTCCTGTTGTTATGACAGGAGCCTACACTAACGAAATTTGAGTAATAAAAGTAAATCTTCAAAATCAGTTTACTGGTTATAGAATGTTCCACGTATCTACCATCTTTGGATATCAACAAATTGTAAATAATATTACCTTTTCTCAAGGAAGGTTTTTGCATTAGAAACGTTCTTCCCCATGGCTGAAGCTTTCCAGGAGAAATAAGAGCCAGATGGATCCACCTAGTGCAAGATGAGATGGTAATTCAGACTATTTGGTTTAGACAGAAAAATAAGGTGGTAATTATTGTAACAGGATAGTACAAAAAGGTAAAATACTCTGATACAAATTTCACTACGTTCAGTTTTTCAGCGCTGAAGAGAATGGAAGCTAAGAAGATTGGGAGACTCGATTGTGCTCAATCAACTGACACATATCCTAAGGAGGAAATACCTGATACAATTGTGGACCCTTGTCATCATATCCAGCCACCAGCAGGGAAACCCCGAAAGGCCTAACACCACTGTAAACAAGAGACGGTTACAAAAATTAGAAACAGGATATATAATGGGTACAAATTTGCTGAAGCAACATTATTTCAAGCCAATCAATTACCAATTGTTTTTCTGAGCAAATAGTTCAGTGCAATTCAAATATATTGGGAAAATGAGAGGAAGTAAACATATGACAGCTGAGGTTGAATTTTACAGTTAAATGTAGAACTTACCCCGATTGAGTAAACTCTTGCATAACAGTAGCGGTTTCCCTTACAAGTTGGGTAACAGGGATGGGTTCCTGCAACAATAAAGCTTTCTTTAGATGAAACCATACCACATAGGAAAGTATTCCAAGAAAGTTTGAGAAAACAGAGAGATAGGATTACTTTGTACAGACGGAGATATTGCTCAGCCTGTTTCCTACTCTTCCTAACAAGAACTCGAAAATCAGGACCCATGCCACTTCATAGAAGGAAATGCCAAAAAAAAATTAGTACTTAAGCTACAAGATCAAAAACAAAAACAAAAAAAAACTTAAGATAAGTGAGAAGAAAACCTGTATACAACTCCAATATTAGGAGTCAAATGCTGAATTTTTTGAACCTGAAACAGGCAAAAGATAAAACTAATGTCAAGAGTGATTTACGCAATCTAAGAAAGCATCACAAAGCATGGCTAAAGGGTAATGATACGAATATTCTGGTTGATTATTAACTTACAGATGCTTCATCAACCAGAATAGAAGGCAATTTCTTTTCAGTTGCAATGACAACTCCATTAGAAGCTGCAGTAAGAAACCAAATTATCAGAAGAAAGCTACAATATTTATTTGATCTATTAACAATTCATCATGTCATTGACAAACCTTTAATCCCCAAAGATGTTTGGCCAGATCCAACAGCTGTAAGGGCATGTTCTATCTGAACCAGCTTCCCAGATGGGCTGTCTCAGACAAAGGACAACAATTAGTCACAGCAAAAACTAACCCAAAATGCTCTTATGATTAAGTAAGTTCGTACCTGAAAGTGGTGAGAGAAAACGAGTACTGACTATCTCCCATAGCTGCTTAAGCAAATCGGTGAAAGCTGTGAACAACACAAACGAGTAAGATCGATTTCCTGGAAAAAATTTCTGAGAATTGGACTCGCAGGTTTCGTTTGCTTAAACATTAGAGTCTAAAAGCAGTTTAATAGAATGGGATTTTTGAGATCGAAACGAATCTTCGAAAAAGAACTAACACTGTGAAGAGAATAGCTTACCTTTAGCTTCAGCTTCGAGATCGAACAAGCGATTAGTTGCAGAGAGAGAGGTGAAATAAATAGGCTTTTAGGTTTCTTGCAGAGAAGAGAAGGTTGAAGTGAGATTTTACGAATTCTTTTTGGAAGAAGAAAGAGGAAGTAAAACCAAAACGACTCCGTTTTAGTGATTGTTTAATAAAGAGAACGCAAACGCGATTTTATGTAACCAAACACGCGTTATTCGCGTCGCTCTTTTCCTGATCAGTGATCACCTAGGTGGCAAAAGCAGCATCGTTGAGAACGAAGAAGCTTGAAAAAGTTGCGAGCTCGGAGAATCTGGTGGCAGTAGCAAAATCTGGCGGCTTTAAGTCAACAATTGTTCCACTACATGGTATTTTGAGGTGATATGGCTTCGACTCTTTTCTCAACAACTTTATTGGTTGTTGCTCACTGCCAGATTAATCCCTCTCTATCTTCTGTTCCTCAGCAGACGACTCGTAATTTCGCAGCCATTTTGAATGTAACTTGTTCTTAATTCCATTTTCGACCGTCTCTGAGCTTAGATATTCACTTCTAGTTACTGTTAAATTGTTTGTATAATTTGGGTACTACTAGTAGATATCTGATGATGTCTGAGTCAAAATGATTAAAATCTGAATTTAATTTCTCTTATGGAATTCATTCTAGTGAATTGTGTTCAAAGTTTGGATTTTTTTATCTTTTGTTTTGTAATTCTGAGATTGTAAATGATTACTGCAGAAGAGAGCATTCAGCTCACAGTTACGCTCTACCTATTCAGCTTCTATATCTACTCACGTTGGTCGAGTCATGGCTTCTACTGGATCTGGGGCAAAAGTTAATTACGCAACATCCTCTATATCTACCAATGAACCTGTTGTGTCTGTTGATTGGCTTCACTCTAATCTTAGAGATGCTGATTTAAAGGTAACCCGGCGTTCTCAGAATACTTATAGTTTGCACTTGTTGAGATTGTAGCCTTAGTCAAGACTTTTCTGCCATGATTCTTATGTAACTTGTTTGTTTCCTGGTCAGGTTTTGGATGCCTCATGGTACATGCCACATGAGCAAAGAAATCCAATCCAAGAGTATCATGTGAGAATATGTACACTTTTGTAGATAACCACGTAAATTAGCTATAAAAGCCTTTGTTCTGAATGAGCGCTTTGAAACTCTTCATCAGGGTTACTACACGACTTTATGTTGATAGGCTCGTATGTTGTCCTCGTCTACAGGTTGCTCATATTCCAGGTGCTCTCTTCTTTGATGTGGATGGAATATCAGATCGAAACACAAATGTGAGAATCACTCTCTTTTTTCTTCAGAGAAGATGTTATCGTGTTGTTTATTTCTAACTCATTGACTTTACAGTTTACACTGCCATCGCTTATATGTATAATGAAATGTCATCAGTGATTCTTCATTGCAGCCATTTGAACATATTGTCGTTTCTTTGATGCAAAAATCTGGACTCTTTTCTGTGTTCTTTGACTGTGAGCTTCTATGTGTCTTATGAATGCGCAACAACCAAAAAGTTTTGTATATTATTTGAATTACATGTGCAGTTACCACACATGCTACCATCTGAGGAAGCTTTTGCTGCTGGTTGTTCTGCTCTAGGAATCGAGAACAAAGATGGAGTGGTTGTGTATGATGGAATGGGGCTCTTTAGTGCAGCTCGTGTATGGTGGTGAGTTATGGATCTCATGTCCCTTGGGCTTTTTTTGTTATCTTTCTTCAATATGATTTCTCAGGTATTATCAAATCGATGAGTGCTCCTTTTGTTAAAACAGGATGTTTAGAATCTTTGGACATGACAAAGTATGGGTACTTGATGGAGGCTTGCCGAAATGGCGTGCTTCAGGCTATGATGTTGAACCCAGTGCTTCAAGTGATGCCATTTTGAAAGCCAGTGCGGCAACTGAGGCTATAGAGAAAATTTATCAAGGACAAACAGTAAGTTAATTCATTCATCGAAAATATTTTGCCAATCTGATGTATTTGCAAATTGCATATTTAGTTGGTTTACCTGCTATTATGGTTAATGCACATCTTTGCTGGTTGCACAGATTAGTCCAATAACTTTTCAGACGAAGTTCCGGCCACATCTTGTATTGGCGCTTGATCAGGTTAGCGTTTCCTAAATGGAGTTTTTCTTTGATTTTGATGAACTTGAACATAGTGTTAATCAATTCATTTTATACCATGATCACCTGGTTTATTGTTCCACAAATAAAATGCATTGAAGCAGAGTAGCAAACTGGTTTATATTCAAAGAATGTCACTTTGGTTATTAATAGATTTAAAGTTTGTACATAGTTGCTAGTAAACTAGGGAAGCTAACTGGGAAATTGGACAGGTGAAGCAAAACATCGAGGATAAGACTTATCAGCACATCGATGGGCGTTCAAAAGCTAGGTATTATGCCTAATTTATTGCTTGTTTTGAATTGTAATTTCACTATAATATGCTAATGGTTTAAAGTTGACTAGGTCGAAACCCGCGCTACGCTGCGGGTATTTTTTTGAAATTTGTTTTATTTAAACAATCAAAAACCAAAACAATATTATTACATCAAAAATAAAAAGAAAGAGGATTTTAGAAAGAAAAAAAACAGGATCTGTTAACCAAAAAAAAACAAAAGGATATGTTTACAATAAACAGTATAATTACAATTCTGTTTACTTGTCTAAGAGTTTGACGACAAACTCTTCATCTTTGTTCTACTACGAGAAATACAAATAAGATTATCCACATAAGTCCATGATATAAGATAAATAAATAACATGCAAACATAATAAAAAATTTTACATTGACTTTACTATTGGAATCAATTAGTCTCTCAGCCACAAGAGACATCAATCTCTGAGAAAATTATTAGACATAATTAATTAAACACAAATTACGAAAATTCCATGAAAATATAGAAATCGAAAAAGATGGACCAGACTTTGTTATGGGTTTTTAAAATAAATAGGCTAAACAATTCATAAACATTGGTTAACATAATTTGGTTCGTGACTTAAAATTAGAATGTTCAAAGATAAACAGTTACTGAATGACGATCCAATAGTTCTTAGCATTTTTAGGGAATCTCATCTTTCTCTTTGTCTTTCTCTTATCTTATATTTACCATTAAATGTTCTTGGAATAAAGTAGATCAAGCGTTTGAGCCGGCGTGAGATCACCTTCATTCAAAACATAAATCACAAATACATAGTTAATTCACAACTTTTTGCTATGTTGAATTATATATTCTTATAAAATAGATCACTAATAATAACCAAATTAATCAATAACATTTGTGACATTTCAGCCAAAATTTACAAATAACAAAAAGAGCATAAATCCAAAATAAGTCAAATTTCAAATGCAAACTTCACTTGACTACACATCTCTATGGTTAGATCATAGAATAATTTTACCATTTTTCCCTTTAATGATTTCATTTTTGAACAAAAACTAACAAAGCTTTGCGCTTTATATGCAAATGATCAAGTGAAGCAAGATACATGTATAAGAGGAATATAGAGATTCAAGTTTGACCATATATCTTGAAGTAACAAGACGGGATAATAGAACAAGTGTGAGATTACAATCCTAAGAGTGTATTGTTCTTTACTGCTGTAGATTTCTTAAATTGAAAAAAAAAACGTAAACCAATTTAGCAATCGTAAACTCTTATGAATAAACTATGATTCTAATTGTGTTGGTGTACCACAAATAATTTTAACATAAATAATTTAAGATTTTTGGAGTATAATATTCACTAAAACATATTTACATATTTCACAATATAAAAAAAAAACTAACATTTGTAAAAAGTTAAACATATACAAAAACATAAAATAATTAAAAATAATTATAAATATCAACTACACAGTACATTTTTTTGTAAAAGTAAGATATAAAAATTATTTTTTTAGTATATGCATATATAAACTAATAAAATAAAAAACAATTAAAATACAAGCAAAGGTAAAATAATATCTGAAGAACCTATTACATTTTTACCGTAAAAACTTATACTAAAACAAAATTAATTTATAAAAACAACACGCTGCGTAAACTAATTGTTAAATTCACTTCATGCATGGTGTTCTCTAGAAACCATTTGATGTCAAACAACTTTTTAAAAAATATATAGGATAGCTTTTTTCATTTTTTGTAGATATAGAATTATTAAACAAATTAGAAATATATTTATCATTATCAATAAATTTAAAATTATTATGTGTATGATTGTATTAATTAGATTGGTTGTCTTTATTAAATAATATGTTTTTTTATATAAAAAGCTGATGTGGCATGGTGGAAATTTGATGTGGCAAACTGGAGAGGTGATGTGTATTAATCGAAATGTTTTTATTGGATGATGATTTTAATGAGGTGTCAGCTTCAGAAGAGTCCAAAATGCTGATGTGTCAGGCCTGGAGAGATTCTTATTGTTATTATTGTATTGATTCCGCTCATAGCATCTGATATAGGATTTATTCTGTTTCATAGATTTGACGGTATTGCTCCAGAACCTCGCAAGGGAATACCGAGTGGTCATATACCCGGTAGCAAGTGTGTCCCTTTTCCCCAAGTAAGCCACCGTCTAACTTGAAGGGCTTACCGTTATATTTGCTCTTTGAAACCAGATATATGATAATATATTCTTATGCAGATGTTCGATTCCTCTCAAACACTGCTACCAGCAGAGGAGCTGAAGAAGCGGTTTGAACAAGAAGGTAAAACAAAACGCAGTCTCAAGTAGTTGTTTTACGCGATTATTTATCCGTTTTATCTGCAGACATTTCACTGGACAGTCCGATCGTGGCCTCGTGTGGAACCGGTGTAACAGCTTGTATTGTGGCATTGGTAATGATCATCTAGAATTCCTTTATTTACTGTGATCATATGGTAAAAACTGAGACTGATTCCTCTTTATTTTACTGGTCAGGGACTTTATCGTCTGGGAAAAACCGATGTGGCAATCTATGATGGGTCTTGGACTGAATGGGCAACCGAACCAAACTTGCCCATATTGGGTTCTTCTTCATGAGGAAGCCCCAAGAAGAAGCTACAAAATCATAAGCCAGTGGATATATATTTATAAGCTTAGCTTGGTTCAATCCATTTGTGTGTTAAATTTTAGCCGAGAGCTGGGAGGGTTGTATTATCATACATCAGTATTCAGGATTCTTGAGTTTGGTTTCATCCTTGTGGAGATTGATAAAAAGTCGTGTGTTCTTCTTGTCACAATTTTATAAATCGTATTATTAAGTGTGTCATGGATTGTGATTAAAATGAACCGATATATAAATCTATATGTAGTTGACATACAAAAAGACCGCGTGGCCTAATGGATAAGGCGCTCGCCTCCGGAGCGGGAGATTGTGGGTTCGAGTCCCACCGTGGTCGGATTTTTGTTTACTTTCCCATTGATCTTTTTCAAAAACCTCTTATCCTTTTTTCATAAACAGATTTTGTTATTTTATCAATGATATAGTTACAAAATAATCTCTCAGATTAAGCAAAAAGAGCATACTGTGTATATCATGTACAACAAGTGAATGGTAAGGCAGATGCATACAACAAAGCTTCTGTGGATCAGAGTAAATCACTTTTCAGTTTTCTCTCTTGAACATGAAAACAAGAACTGGAGCTAACGGTCGGTTCAACATTTGGAATTTGCAGCAGACCCAATCACTTACAGGTAAACTCGACCCAAAAGCTTCAACCACTTCTAACTCTTCTCTGAACACCGAACCAATTCACAACAAGAAGAAACATGGAGCAAAGTATGTTAGAAAACTTCACATCTTATTAGATCATCAAAGAACTTTTGCTACCATTCTTTTATTACCTTCCACCAGGATGGCCAATGTAAACCACCAAGCTGATGAGGCCACCAGGCATTAAGATTCTCTCAGCAGCCTTCAATGCCGATAATGTTGTATCCGAGACAGTGATTATCGACTTGTTGCCCCCTGGAAGATACCCCAGATTGAATGCAACCATCCTAAGATCATCATAAAAAGATTTCGATGAGTGAAAACCTAAAGCAGCGTAGTAACCAAACCGGTAAAGCGAGGAAATTTTTGCCAGAGATTCATCAAAAATGTGGCATCAGGTCAATCAATTTACACAGTACCTCACACGGGAGTTTTCAGGGACAATCTCTTCCATTCTACTATGACAGATGTTAAAAAGTTTGACGCATTCCTTCTGTATTTCTTCAGCAGAAATGGGACAAGGCTCGATATTAGTAAGAACCACACCGCTATGGAAAGCGAGCTCTGGTAATCATCTAACCTCTTTTGAACCAACGGCTTGATCCAGCAAAGATGAAGTGCTCTCAATGGCATCTTTTTGAATGTCCATAGCATAGACATAGCCACCACAACCAACAGAATCATTCATAACCATCTTCAACATTGCTAAAGTATCGTTCCCGTTTCCACATGTAGCATCAATGACCATATCCCCCTTTTGGATTACCTGCTCCCACACACTGAAAGGATAATCAGCAGTGATATCCAAAGCCTTCATTTTCTTTAACCAAGAGAGTAATTGCTAAAGCTCTTAAGCTAAATGCGAAGACGTATAAAAAACGTTTTTTTGTTATTAATTCAAGTTGTGGGTTAAAAGTACTGACACATGAGCTACTTCTGTTGCCTTCTTCCTCCCAAATAGATAACCAACAAAAACATCCTCTAGTCCTGAAACGAGGAAAAGACTCAACTTTAAGCACAAAAACGCTAATTACGATCCGGAAGCTCCGTTTCTAACTCGATTCCTTTCTAAAAACAGTTTTGGGGTAGCTGAATGTAAAATATTTTCACCTCGAATTGGAAAATCTCGTGAATGCGAAGGAGACGAGCTAAAAGCAGCTACACGAGAACGTCGAATTCTGGGACAAGGGTTTCGTTGCACTGCAATTCGAAAACCGAAGGTCATAAGCGTTTTGCGGATGGGAATTGAGTATGAGCGCGCCAACGTAGAGGATAACATTGACATCTCTGACTGAAAGAACCCAGCCGCCATTGCAGAGATTTTTTAAACAAAGCTTCGTCGATCTGCTCTTAAAAAATGTTTTCTTACACTTGGGGTCTGAAAAACTAAAATTATATTTTCCTTGCAGAATCATATTGGGCTTTATCTTCGGCCCAATAGTTATATCTCAAAGAAAAAGATAAAGCACCACGACGTATCGTGGTGTTACAAAATTACAAATAGTATAATGGTGATTAACGCTAAAAATATTCAAAAACAATGTAATCAGGATCACTACCGCTCTTAGTTTCATCACACATTTTGCTCTTCTTTTCGGTTGCTGCCGCCGGCAAAGACTCCTTCTCCTTCTTCACATAACACGAGAAATCTACCGGCCCCGGCAAATGCGGCGGCGTTTCTCCACGAATCAACGCCCAATTCACACCTTCAAAAAATGGATGTTGCTTGATCTCTGTCGCGCCTCGCTTATACGCAATTCTGTTTTGCGGCTCTTTTACCAACAAACCTTTGATCAAATCCTTCGCCGTCGAGCTAACCTGAGAATATTCCGGGAATCTCAGAGGTTGTCCGATTACATTATAAAGCGTCGCTTTGTTTCCTTGTCCTTTAAATGGCGTTGCTCCATGAAGAAGCTCGTAGATGAAAATCCCAAACGTCCACCAATCGACGGCGCTTCCGTGACCTTCGTTTTTGATAATCTCCGGCGCTAAATACTCGTGTGTTCCAACAAACGACATTGATTTCACGTTTGTCGGCTCTGCCATGAGTTCTGGTAATGATCCATCGAAATCGGATTTGGATTTACGGTTTTTCTTCGATGATTGGAGCATTCGTGGGAAGAATGTGGATGGTTGGTAACATCCTTGGACCGCCGCATTGTCGTCAATGATTCCGGTGGTTCCGCCGCCGTTGAAAGATTTGACAAGAGTTGGATTGACTGAACATCGGAGGGATAAATCGAAATCGGAGAGCATAATGTGACCGTCGTCTCGAACCAGTACGTTCTCTGGCTTTAAATCTCGGTATACGATTCCGAGCATGTGTAAATACTCCAACGCTAATAACACTTCTGATGCAAAGAACCTATAAGCCAAAAAAAAAAAAAAAACCCTTAAGATGTATTTTTCTCTGTTTCTAAATACTCTGTTTGTATACTAACCTTGCAGCGTCTTCTGTGAAACACTTGTTAGGTTGCTTCTGTCTCAAGGAATAGAGATTGCCACCGCTACAAAACTCCATGACCAAGCAATAGAATTTATCAGTTTCGAAGTGAGAGTAAAGAGTAGGCAAGAAAGGATGATCAAGCTGAGACAAGATCTCTCTCTCCGTCTGAGCTCTCAACAGCTTGTTCCTGCTCACAAGAGAAGCCTTATCCATTACTTTCATCGCAAAATATGTAGTTGGATTTGCCCCTTTGAGTTCAACAAGATAAACACTTCCGATATCTCCGTACCCTAGCCGTTTCAAAACACGAAAATCGCTTATTCCAAGCTTGATTCCTCTAGATTTCAAAGAATTCACTGCATCCCACCTAATATCTCCTCCTGTGTGAGGCTTAGAGGAATTATTAGAAGATGTGCTTTCGCTGTTGTTGCTTTGCGAGCTCATGTTAATGTTGTGATTGCTGATTAACAGAGTCGGCTCTGTTTTTATTAGATGTTCTTCAATCTTCTTTGTGTTTTGCTCAATTTGCTTCTGCTTATCTTTACGCGGTTTTTGTTGTTGATATTTATGGTTTGATGAGTTTGAGGCAGAGTCACAATGATGACTCGTCTACACATGAACAAAAGACAATGGGATTATGAACTTTACAGGTTTCTGCCAAGGTAGAAGGAATTGAAGAAAACACATTTAGTTACATCACCGAAACACATATATACACGGTTCAAGAGAAGTACAATATAGATAAACATAAACTTTTTTTTTTTTTTAGATAAACATAAACTTAATCACAAACATATTCCTAATCCTTATCTTAACAGGTAGCCTAACACTTTCTTTGTTAAAAATTACCTCCGGCGAGACAAGCTTGTTTCCGGGTTTCAATAACATCGCCGGCTTGATCAATAGTGTCCTGTTTTCCACGTAGAGGAAAAGAAAACAAATATCTTGTCTTAAAGCACCAACTTTGAGTTGACTATGTTTTATCATTTAAATTTCCGACATTACTTGTTGTCACGAATATAACAAAGCTTCATCGTCTACCAAGATAGGTGTGCACGTCGTACATTAATTCGTTTTTTGTTTTTTTGTGGGAACAAAAGAGAAAAGCTTGGAATTAAGAAGTAATGTGAAAGATTAGGTAACAATGAGTGGAGACAAGTATTTTATGAATTCCAAAGAAAGTGGGGATGGTGGAAGGAAGGAAAGGTCTTTCAGATTAAAAATAGCTTCAAAGTTAAATGTTCATATGTAAATCAGATTTTGTTCAGACAAAGTAGCCTAAAAGTTTTGGCAATAAGAAGAAAAAACTACAAAATGCCATTTTCTCGGATTTAAAACCCCCTTAAATGTCTAGAGTCAATCTCTGAGCAGAAGAGTAATAGTGAGACTCAAGCTCTTTAAGACTAGCAGATGCATCATCAGCAATTCTAGCCAACAATCGATTCGTCTTCTCGGCCTCTTGATCAAACTCTGCAATTCTTTGTTCTACATGATCGTTTAGTGATGCAAATCCTGAAAAAATCGCGGTTTGCTTCAGTTCGGATACAAGTTTCAAAAGAGAATCAGCTGCTTGAACCTGCCACACCATTAATAAAGAACTCAATTAACAAACACAATGAGTGCATAAGCAAGCAAAACAAATCCAATTGAAAACATAAGTAAAAAGATATTAGATTTTGGAGACTCATTAGTGAATGTTTCAAAGATTCAAACATTTCATATCTGTGAGCTTCAGATCCCAAATGCTGTCCTAAAACCCTAAACCTTAATTGCATCTGCCTAAAATGAAAATCATTCGAAGTTGAATCAATTACCAATCTTGAAGCTCGCATCTCCATCATGTATGCTTCCTGAGAGTTCTTCATTGGTGGATCACTCACCTACAAATACATAGATAAACAAAGATGTTCACGAAAATCGAAAATTTTGCAAACAAATTTCTAAGAACGGTAATCTTCAATAGAAATCTATGCTCCAGAGACTGAATTCTGATCAATCTTAAGTATAGAACCGCAATCAAATCACTTACCCTTGCGACATTGACGATTTGAGTGAAGTTATCGACGACAGATGTGATGTCAGTCTCTACCCTCTGCATCAACGCCTTTTGTTTCTGTAAGGCAGCAGCGGCTGCGGCGGCCGTCGGTCCGCTTCCTCCACCGGAACCACCGCCTTTGTTCATCGTTCATGTCCTTGCACAGAAACGAAGGAACCTATGGAGGCTTAAGTGGTACAGACCGAAAAGGCCTAAAGTATTCGTGGGCCTTAACAAATGGGCTACTACTGAGTATTGGGCCTTACATATTCCGATTGTGTTTCGCTATTTACTGACTAAACGTTTGGCTTTTGTTTTGGTCTCACTTTAATATTTGGTGAATTTCTGGATCAGCTAATATTAAAGTGAGACCAAAACAAAATCCAAACGTAAATAGCATAATAGTTCCTAAAACGGGAATTAATTTATGGATCTTAGATCTACAACCGCATGAGGAATATTAATAAGGAAATGCCTACTCTTTTTAAATAAATGAAACCTACTCATAATTCCTTATTGGCCACCAAGACTATTCCAAATGATTAACTTAATGGCACTCATGTTTTTTTCCTTAATAAATAAATAGACCATAGTCCATTTAATACTTTCTTTTACAAAGAGCATAATATGAGTTATATTATAAAATTTGATAATAAAAAGACCATGGAAATAGCCGCCGGCCAAAAAAAAAGACCAAGGAGAAATATAAAATGAGACGTAAAAGGCCATTACAGCAAACCACACAGAGTTTCTATAACGAAAAGAGGCAAAATAAACAGTCAAGAATGTTTGTCCGTATCAGACCTTTCGTGGTAGTTTAAATGCTAAATCTTTCTTATATAAATAAAATGAATAAATGTTATTCATAAAGGGAAAACAAAGGTATAATTCATTCATTCGTCAATGGCGAAGAAAGCAGTTTTGATAGGAATCAACTACCCAGGAACCGCGGTGGAGTTACGTGGCTGTGTCAACGACGTCCGCCGGATGCAGAAATGCCTAATCGAACTTTACGGATTCGCCAACAAGGACATCATCATACTGATAGACACAGACAAATCATGTATCCAACCTACAGGCAAGAACATCCGCGACGAATTGACTAGACTCATCGCGTCAGGGCAATCTGGCGATTTTCTGGTCTTTCATTACAGTGGACATGGCACGAGAATCCCGCCTGGGATAGGAGAATTAGGCGACTCTACAGGGTTTGACGAGTGTATCACTCCTTGTGATATGAATCTAATTAAGGGTATGAGATCAAAAGTAATCTTTTTTTTTTTTGTTTCAAATGGGTTTGACGTCTTTTTTGTATTGCTTCATGTTTATTTGTTCGACTATATACTCATTCATCCAAACAAAATTCTTGGTTAAAACAGAGCCCTCTGGCTAAACAAAGAAAACAGAGCGCTCTGTTTCTTGGTCGCAATTTCGATTTACATTGAATCTCTTGCGTTGTTGGATAAATTCAGAGAATTTGAAGATAGCATTATAGCAAGTCTTGGTACTGTTTGGTGTCCACTCTGGTTTTACATCGACATTATGACATGACTATTGGTGTTTTAGATTATTTTCCGGTTTTTTTTTTTCTAACTTTTTTTCTTTGTCACAAATGTGTTTGTAGACCATGATTTTAGAGAAATGGTGTCACATGTAAAAGAAGGTTGTCAATTGACGATAATCTCGGACTCTTGTCATAGTGGTGGTCTCATCGAGGAAGTAAAGGAGCAGATTGGGGAAAGCCATGTGAAGCCGATCAATGAAGTAAAGGAGCAGATCGAGGAAAGCCATGTGAAGCCGCCAAAACTTGGGATTGCTAGTTACTTGCTTAGCATTGTTACGAATTTGTTAGCGACCTGTGGAATCTCAAAATCTCATAGAGACCGTGGAGGTGGCCAAGAAAGCTTTAGCGGAGAGATAGAATTAGAGAGCCACGAAACATTTGATATGAAAACTAGATATCTACCTTTCGATAGCTACGTAAGTCTTCTCAAGCAACAAACCGGGCAAACCAATATCCAATCTGGGAAAATCAGACAGACACTTCTCAAATTATTCGGTGAAGACTCAAGACCGATTCATCAGAGAGGTTTAAGAGACCTAGGAAACTGCGAGGTTAATGCAGGTGATTCTGGATCCTCAAGGTTGAATGCCGTGGCCGACAATGGGATTTTATTAAGTGGATGTCAAACAGATCAGAGATCAGAGGATGTTTATGTGACAAGAACTGGAAAAGCTTACGGAGCATTCAGTGATGCGATTCAGACGATATTGTCCTCGGCGAGAGATGAGAAGAAGAAGATTACGAACAAAGAATTGGTTATGAAAGCTAGAGTGTTTCTCAAGCAACGGAGGTTTAGTCAACGACCAGGCTTGTATTGTCATGACCGTTATGTTAATAAACCATTTATATGCTAAAACACAAGAAGTTCATCTGAATTTTTTTGTTAATGGTGCATTTTTTTAAGTTATTTCTTTTTGTGATTTAATATTTTCATGTAAATGTTTGTTTTGGGGGTAGGTTTGACTAAGTCTCTCAGTGACTTGTGATTCAAGTAATATATACAGTTTTTTTTTTTTTAATATAGGATTAATTAATGAAAAAAAAAAAAAAAAAACTTAGTCACGACGATTATTTCAATATTAGACATGTGGAATATGTATAACGGTGACGTGCTGACCTCTAATTAAATAATAACTATTATGCAAGATCACCCAATATTCATGTATAGTTGACAATGAGCTAAGCCAAACAAAAACAAAAACATGGACCAAACAGTGTTGTTAGCGAGAGGGAATAGAACAGAACTACGTTAGGAAATGTCAGGCCAGGCGTCCTTAAAACGCTTCTCAAGGCGATCTCATCAGTAAATCCGTGTGACCTTGTGGGCCTGGACGAAGATGTTTGGATCGGCATTTGGGTTATTGGGCCTTGATAAAACTCAACCCATAATTTATAGTATACACTTGAAAAACAGATGGTGATGATGATAACGTGAATAAGAATCATGATTGGTGTAATAATAGTTGTGAGAACGAGAAGTGAGTGATGGTAAATGGTCATTCATGTGATACTCATGTCACATGGATTTGAGATGCCTCGGCCTCTGGCCTCTGGGTTGGTAACCACGTTTATATTATAATGCTTTTTTGTGTTATATAATTTGATGTGCCATATATGAATCTTTGATATACATTGGCATTGAAAGTGTCGCATCCAATTACGGTGGTGGAGACCTGTGAAGATGCTAGATCATGTGAGCTACAACTCAGCCATCAAGGGGGAGAATGTTAGTATATATGTGATGTTGCTCAGTTCTGTAGATGTGCTGTTGTTGAGTTGTGTAGCTGTGACAGTTGGAACATGGACACTCAGTCAGAATCACAACAGATGCAGTGACAGTTTAGAGGGAGATTTTGAGATAGTAATGAAGCTTGAAGATCATCAAACTACAAGGTACAAGGTGAGGCTGAGTTCTAAAACGCAGTAACAAAGGGGGAGATTGAAGGTATGTTTGTAACTGGTTGTTAGACTCAAGATGATGGCACAGCTCAAGAGGTGATATGATAACAGGACGTGTGTGTGACACAAGAGTTTATGCAGACAACAACAGAGGTATTGGAACATCTGTGTGACGCAAGAGTATCAACAGAAAGTATCAGAGTTGTGTTCTACAGGCAGCTCCTGTGTAACACAACAGGAGAACTGAACGCAGAAAGAATCAAGTTGGGAATTAAGATGACGTGGCGTGATTCTATTGGAGACGTGATGTTTCCTTTAGTGGTGGCTCAGATACTTTCGAATCAAGGAAAAAAGATTGCGAAAATATTTGGAGCTTAGGGTTTTGTCTTGAGTATATATAGATGGCTGTCGTGACAAAGAAATGTGGCGCGTCTATGGTATATAATTCTAGCTCCATTTCTTCTCTTTACAGGGAAAAATTATATATCATCAAATTTGATTCAATTAATTCTATTCTTTTAAGTTCCCAATATTCTTGTCTCTAACAACTAACATCTGTTAGATTCCAATGAGATTTTTCTACAATCTAGTTATTTTCAAAAAAAAAGTCTAGAAACACAAGTTACATAACCAAATAATTTTTTTCTTTTTTTTTGAGTCAAATCACTAATTAAGACGGTTAAATGAAAAGACATGTTACCAAAAGCCATACTGCATGCTGGACAACCAACTATATATATATTTTTCTGCGTTTTTTAGTAAATATCTAATATATGATAGATTCTAGGCCTGGACACGAAGCAGATATCCGGAAAATTGTGATATTTGTTATTCGATTCGTTTTAATCGAATACCTGATTTTGTGATTTGCTTTGATTCGAAAATTTCCGGATATCCGGAAATTCGAATATCCAGATTTTTTTGTGATATTTGCGGATATCCGCTTTGATAAATATAAATATTAAAAAAATTTATAAACTATATAACCATATCAGATATTTAAAGTTTTTATTTAACATGCTTTCAAAATAAGTTCCAAATATCAAACATAACCGTTGTTGTTATCACCGGTCAACAAAATGTTATCAAACTAATTCTAATAACCAAAACCCGATAGATTAAGATGTCATTGATCAAAACATAACATGAAAAAAAAAATGATCAAACAAACATCTTAACATAAAAACATAAGGTAGCAACAATACACAAACTATTTATGATATCTATATATAGACATAACTATATATTCTAATATATATCAAAAGATACGGATCGAAGCGGATATTCGATTTTAGAAAAAACAACATTTGTTTTTTGCTTCGGTTTTTACGAATACTACATTTTCCTATTTGCTTTAGTCCAAAATCTTACGGATATTCAGATTTTTCGAATCGAATCAAATCGAATACCGAGTCGAAGCGGATCGAACAAATATTTTGCCCAGCCCTAATAGATTCTATATTAATTCTCATTTTTAGTAAACATAATATCTATGATAGATTCTATATTAACGACCTTGGTCAGTGGGTGTAGACACGTTCGTTTATCCTGGTAATGGGGAACAAAGAATGTAAAATTCTTTTTAGCCGTTAAAAAAATAAAGAATGTGAAGTCTTAAAAATTATATATCACATTACAAAAAATATTTAATGAAATCCGTATAATTCCTTTGAATTTATTTACTATATCCATAAACTCTTATTACAAACTTGAACACTTTTCTCAAATACATATATATATATATACATATATATATATATATATATATATATATATATATATATATTCAAGATTTAAATATAGGAATCTGGATTAGGTTAATGGAACATGAGAAAGTTAACCAAATACAAGGGGGATGTTCCCTCCAAAAGAAAAAGCGAATCACAACATGTCACGTATATATTACTATGACTATGAACATGCGTCAAGAATCTACTCTACACAGTGGAGGGATCCAAGATTTTTAGCTAAGTCCTTTATTACAAAATTTATGAACATCTGACTCTCTCTTTTAAAACACTTGTCCAACCTTTGGCTTTCCATCTCCCATTCTCCTACCGGATGAGCCTCTTATTACTCCCAAAAAAATCATTTTTCTTTCTCTTATTAACAGCAAACTGGAACATGAAACGGAATTAACCAAAGAATCCGATTGTTTTTTCTTGAACTGGTCTTGATCACTTGTTATCTTTTGATTTAGTTCAATTCATTTTTGATTCCAAAGAATCCGAAAAAAAAAAATCATCAACTTTGATTCAATTCATATTTTAACTTATAAGTTATAACTATTCTTTTAAAGTTATTGAATACTATTCGCTCTATCAACTTCATCAATACAACATTGAAATTGGTGAATTCCAGTGAAATATTTCTACAACTAATATTTTAATTTTTTTTTCGTGGAAACATATCTTTTATTTTAATAAATAAATAATACCTTGGGTAGGTGAACACGTTTATCCTGATAATGAAAAACATTCTTATTATATAGTGGTGTCATGTCACCAACATCACTACACTCGTAACCTTTTAGTACGTAGTCTAATTCTTCGCACCATTTCAATTAAACACGGTTATCATTAACCTCATAAGTTATAGTTGCGCCCGGATTATTGATTGATATTCATTATTAAGTTACGGAGATACAAAAAAAAAAAAAAAAAAGACACACGAATGTAACAATATAGCGTTTTCTGGCAAATTAAAGGATAGTCTAAAAACAACAATAAACAATACTTCAAGTAACATAACACAGAAACGAGAAAGCGTCGAAAAACATCACAGAGAATAAACAAGGCGTCTTGTTAAGGACGGAATTTTGGATAAAGGTTTGGTGCCAAGCGTGGCTCAACAGACAAAAGAAGAGGCTTAGCCATCAGCAATGATGCATCATCTTCCTCGAGGCTTAACGGTCCAAAATCTTGGTGGAGTTTCCAGTTAAACCCTTGAAGAAACCTAGCCAACATCATAACCATCATAATTGTCCCGACTTTGACACCGACGCAGCCACGTCGACCAGTGCTAAACGAGACAAAACGCATCTCTGTTTCCACCAGAGTAACCTCTTTTGTGATTCCCTCTCCTTGGAGGTGACGCTCCGGTTCATATACCAATGGATCTTTCCATATTTTAGGGTTCCGGCCTAATCCAGGGCGGCATACATGAATGTGGCTACCTGTCCAAAAATCAATAATTTCTTAATGTATAACGCAAAATCGTATCAAGATTTTGTGAACGAAACCCATGCACATAAACTTACTAGTTGTCGTGGTATTTTAAACAAACAAAAAAGTACGACAAAATCTATATTGTATAATATATAGCCAAAAACAAAAACAAAAACAAAAACAAAAACAAAAACAATGAATTTTGTTTTTGTTAATGAAACTCATGCATACACTTACTAGTTATAAAAGTTAAATCTTATGGAAATAACAAATATATGTATTCCCTATATATATTACCTTTGGGGATAAAATAACCCCCGAGGGTGGTATCTTGACGGGCCACATGAGGAGGGACATAATGAGCGCTTGGGTGAATCCTGAATGTTTCTCTGCAACAAGCTTTTAAGTAGTTTAGATTTGGTATGTCAGATTCTTGCACAAGCCTGTCTTTTCCAACTACTTCCTCTAACTCTTTCAGAGCTTTTCTGAGAATCTCCGGGTTCTTTAACATTTCCGCAAGTGTCCACTCCATGTTATTTGCCGGATTATCGATCGCTGCTATACAAAATTCCTGTAAAAAACACCAGAACAATAAACAATTAATTAATATGTGTGTGTGTAAATAATAAACCAAATCGAATAAGATTCTCAAAGCTACTTTTAACATGTTATGATTGAAACTATTATAGCTCGCAACTTTAGTCAATAGTATTTAACATTTTTCTCTTTTTCTTTTTGGTCAGAATAATTCGGATGATCATCTTATTTAGCGTAAATATCTATTTCTCTATATGATTAGTTGATTACTATTTTATATGAATTTTTTTTTTTCTGTTTGGTCAGAATTCAAATGATCATATTATTTAGTGTATATATCTATTTCTCTATATATTATACACTCTTTTCTAAAACTTATACTGTAATTACTTACAACGCATTGAGCTTTGATTTCGTCTGGCGTGACCAAGTACTTTCCGTTTTGATCTTTTAACGTAATGAACGTATCAAGCCAATCTTCAACAGCAGCCTTACCACCTTTTTCCCTCCATAATTCAATCCTCTCGTCGATTATGGGATTGTTGTAACTACGAACAAGATTAACATTCACTTTCGCCATCTCCTCTTGACCATCAATATTCCAACCTCTCAACCATCGTTCCACGTAATCCACGGGACTAAAACCTGGCAAACAGTTTAGAGTGTTGAAAATCACCTCAAGATGATGTTTTTCCGCTTTTCCTAGTCTCCCCTCATCCGAAAACACATTTTCTTTCGTAACATGTCTCCTTCCAAACAACATTCTCATGGTCACTGCGTAACCATAGACCCTCGAGAGTTCTCTAAGGTCGACCGTCTCGGAACGTTGATACATCGAGTGAATGTAAGCAATGAGATTATCTGCTTCGATGGTTCTCGCAGCTTCCAACATATTCAACGTTTTAACGGACATAATTTCCGTTGTGATCACTTTTTTCATCTTCATGAATTGTTCACCGTACGGGGAGGTTCCCATTGATTTGTAATTGTCTCCAATAGACTCTACGCTGGAAAGTTGAGGCCGGTCTGCCAAATCGGCGTCTCGCTCTCTAAACGCTTCTCTAGCGATCTCGTCGGAGTTTATGGTGATGGTGTGGGTTCCGGCAAAGTTGAAACATGCAATATCTGTTTTTAGCTCTTTCATGGCAAGGTGGAAATATTTGGACCTAGGACGAGTCATGATTAGTTCGGGTAGATTGCCGAGGATCGGCCATCCTGGTGGGCCAGGCGGAAGCTGGCGAGATCGGTCTTTTGTTTTGGAGGGCCTTGAGAGTATTCGACCTAGTAAAGTGATTGATGCGATGAAGACGATAAAGCCTAGTACGATTTGAAATGATGTGTTGAAGCTCATCATCATCATCATCTTAATGTTTGTATTAGTGTTTTTATTTGAGTGTTTAGTGAGTTGTGTGCTCGTTTCGCTCTGAACACTGCGATATTGGGAGTTGGGACATTGTTTGTTGTGTTAAGTATTTATAGATTCGAAAACAATCTTAAAACCAAATTCTCCTTATTTAAAAGCCAAATCAATATATTAAATAACAAAAAATCTCGATAAAGATAATTTTGCTATTATAATAGAAGGGTAACTTTTTAAGAGAAAACCTTCAATTATATTTTATTACATGATATGTCATTAGAATCACTTTGTTTAGTCTAAGTAGTAAGTAGTTTAAGGGCATTTCTAGAAAATCACATTTGCTCATTTCCTACAGCTACAAGTCTACAACACACCTTACCATAATTTTGTATACCAGTATTTAACTATATTTAAAAAACCAGAAATATGGCAACAAATGGAAAACAATTCACTAGCTACTAAATTGTTCCAACATTATTGCATGTCTTCATCTTTTTTTTTTTTTTTCGACTGAATAATTTCATTAGCATAAGAGTTGTTAATGATATACAACAAGTCCCAAAAAATGATAAAGGATCGAGGACAATCACCATCAGAGAAACCAAAAAACGCATAACAACTAAGCAACACACATCTCTTCTGTGAACAAATCCTTTAACCAAAAGGGGTAGCCCGAAGCTACGTATGATTGTCTTCGATCCTCCAAGGTTACACTCTTAGCGATCAAGAGAGCACCTCTGTTTTCTTTTCTATCCTCTTTGCGCAGTTTCCAGAAAAGAACACTCTTAAAGATATTGCATGTCTTCATCTATATTATATAAAATCCATTTTATATTTGATGTCTAGATTAATTCGTTTGTTTTCAATAATTTAAACAGTCATTTTCTACTATAGCCATTTTTTTCTATCTATACGCTAGATTATACATATATATATATATATATAATATTGTCAAATATTAATATATCTTTTTATTAATTCTTAATATATTCTTCAACTATCACTACAATTTCTTAATTTACTATATTATTCACCCCACATATAGTGCAGATTATCGTCTAGTGTTACTATGTTAGTAGATTGTGTGAGTTTAATTCACTTTTAAAAAGTTTAAATAATTTAGTTAAATGATTTTCTTACAATATTTTTACTGGCATATGATGTAATTAAATACGATCCTGTATATATATATTTTTTAAATATATAGTGGAATTGAAAAGAAAGAGCTAGAAAAGAAAATAATCTAAAGTGATTCAATATAAAGGGAGTGGGATACTAGACTGGTGAGCTCTTGGGTAGGTAACCACGTTTAGATGTCTGAATTGATTTTCAGACCCTCTCTTTGCATTTCAGTGGGTTAATTAGTTGGCCTGTATATATATGTGTCACTCTAAAATAGTAATATAGCATTATTAGTTAATTTAAAAAATGTTTCTTCAAGAAAAGTAGATTTTTTTCATTTCAATAAAGAGTACCACTTTAATATTCCTACAAAAGGGTGCATCCTTTAGAGTTTACGTACATTTCGAATATGGAAATGAGATAAGGGAAAGAAAGTATGCTTGAGTCATTGTTGAATAGATCAAATTGAAAGAGAATTATGGTTGGATGAATTTGGTTTATGGTCCGGTATCATAGAGGAGACAGTCACTTGGTAGTTGGTACATTTGGACCCTAATATGGAAGAGGAAGTCTGTCTCGGTGAGTGGCGGATCCAAAACATATTTCTTCTATATAGAACATAAAATATAAATTATAATTAATTAGTTAAAAAAATATATAAAAAAACTTAGATTTAGCATGGGGCAATTTTTATTTTTTACCTTTTAAAATTGAAACACATTATTTGTATTAGCCATTTATTAAATTTATAAAGTCTGCCTAAGGTTCTAAATAAATCCGCCACTAGTCACGGAGGATCACCCAGAAAATAAAGGCATGTTTATGGATCATCTGCTTGAACCAAACATAATTTAAACGGACACTGCTAGAGGATTGACAGTCTCCCAAATTTGTGAAGTTAGAGAAGATACTAATTAATTAGTTTACAATAAGTTAGATTGTAACCATCTTTCCATTGTATTATCTTATGATCAATTTCTATATTTTCTTGATTGTAAAAAAATATCAGTCTAATGATAAAAGTCATAAAGCAACTAAATATCGAAAATATGCCCACATGATGGTGGGCTGGTGGCTTGGCGGGCCCAGGGTGGTTGGGTGCAACTCCCTCCTCTCCATGGTTCGACTCCTCCTGCTGTTATCAACATTATTGTGGGAAGTCTGTCAGTTGGGCTTTGGTCCAATTGGTTTACCTGGTAGTCAGAAATGCAGGCGGCCTGACTACCCTCTGGCACTTAGTCGGAAGGCATTCCAAACTCGGGATAAGCAGAGTGGTAGCCCGTAAGGGCCTAACCGTTAACACGGTGGACCAGTCCACTATGTAGCACCTCGGTGCGTTTCTACCGGGGCCGACCGGATAGCCGATAAGATTTATCAAAAAAAAAAAAAAAACTAAATATCGAAAATATAGAAAATTGATCATATATATACAAAAAAAATTCTCACATCGAAATTAAGCTTAATGCAGGGAGTTAACCCGTACGTGGTTTCATAAGTATTAAAACCAGAATGATTTGAATCAATACCGAAACGGTTTAAGCCTGCATGCATACTTTTTAACCATTACAACAAAGACAACACTATCAACCAATAAATTGTCTCTTTGCCAAAGTCTTATACTCCTCCTCGTCCATAGTGTCGCATAGAACACTTCCTCTAGTCTCCGGCAATCCAAACACAAACAATCCACACAATGCTATGACCAAACCAAATAACCCATACGACCAAAACTGATTTTCGCGACCAGCAGCAACCATCACTGGACTAAAAACGCCGCCAAACACCAGCGCTTGCCTCACCATCGCAATCGCCGAGTTCCTCACACATGTCGGAAACATCTCAATTGTGTATATAAGCGTCATGTTAAATGCGGTGCACGCACTGAAAAACGAAACGAGCTCTAACACAATCTGTAATGACCCTAGTTGTTGTCCTAACACCGCGATCAGAGCGCTAGAGATTCCACTTAGAGCTGTAAATCCGATCAACGCATCTCTTCTATTGATTTTATCAATGAAGAAAAACGTTATCAGAAAAGCTGGGAACTCAGACAAGGCGTTGAACACAACACCTAAGTAAAGATTGAAGTTTAGATTCGTTAAAGCTAATGGCATTCCGTAATAAACCATACCGATACCGAATCCAACCACCATAGCCGCTAATAATCTCCTAAACGACCAACTTTTCCTCACCAAGATCTTTAAGGCATTGTAAACATCAGGATTTGACTTGGATTGATCCTCTTGTACATCAAAACATAAGTTCGTGAAGCTCATAGTGATTGCATTAGAAGCAATGCTTTGGAGAATTGAGACGGCTTCCTCTTTACGACCCTTTACGATAAGCCATCTAGGAGATTCCCTGACGAAAATCCAAACTAAACAGCAATAGATTAAAGTCGGTATCGATGTCCAAACATAAAGATACCTCCAAGAATTCCCGTTATTAATGTAACCTAACATCGGAAGCGATAAAAACCCTAACGTGAAGCAAAAGAAACCCATCGCACCGACTTTTCCTCGCCATTTTTTACCGACTAACTCCGTTGATAGAACGAGCGCGCAAGTCCCGATCGTGGCTCGGCCACACCCGTTCAAGAATCTCAAAAACGCATAAACCCAAATGCTCGTTGAGAAAGCTGTTAACATCGAAGAAAGAGACATTACGAGACACGACAACAAGAGCATGTTCTTACGACCAAGCGATGAGTCGGCGAGTGTAGAGAGAACTAAGCCGCCGATTAGACAGCCAAGGAAAAAGGAGCTTGCAGGCAATCCCTTGAGAAACGAGCCGGCGCATTGTAGCCCCCACTCGGAAATGATTGACACGTGAGGGTTGAAGTCCCAAGACCAGGTTTGGTTGGGTAAGGTGCAGAGGTTGGAGGATGACGTGTTGCATACTGAGTCGACTCGTTCCGATTCGGTACAGTGCCACGTGGGTTGTGAGTCGGTGAAGACGGTGATGAATGTTTGTTGAGCGTCGAAGACCCAAGCGAGTGAGACTAAAGCGGCTTGGAGGAATTGTGCCCACCCGAAGTTTCCGATGCATTGCTCTATCGTCTCGTCAAGGGATCTTGGTGGCGGAAGCTTTGACTCGGACGACTGGAAATCGGAGAGAAGCGGATTCGGGTCGGCCATATATAGGAAGAGATAGGGTTTTCTTTTGTATTTTATGTTTGAATTGATTTTGCCTGTCATCAATTTTTAATTTGTTACTCTATATATAGAGAATAAACTACAACTTGTATGTGCAATTAAATTAAAATTTTTATATAAATACTTAATATCTCTTTCCAGTTATTTTATGTCCGATAAATTATTGGATGAAATTACAACTAGTTTTTGTAAAGTTATCTAGAATGGTGGGAAAGTTTTGTAAATATTGTGATCGGAGCACAACGTGTGTAATAAAAAATTTGGATGCAATACTGCCCGTGAGAGCGTGACTAGGATCCAGCTAGCAGGACATTTCTATAGTCTATAGTCTATAGTCTTTTTTGGGCGTCAAACTCATTACATATATAGAACACATTTATTAGATATGTTCAATAAGATAAATGATTAATGGGTTTTAGATCTCGCGATGGCTAAGTGAATGGCTGAGAATGAGCCATCTCTAATTGGTTTCTCGTCAGAACCTTCTTCCCCACTGCCGTTAATTAGCTGCTTGTGATCCCACACACTCAACCACTTTGGGTTTATTTTTGGGTCTACTTCTTAATTATCACTTTTTCTTCTATAGGTTTTTAATTTTTATCATTTATTTGACATCAATGGATTTTTATTATTTCTTGATATACATCTTCATTTGAAAAAAGCCAGTTTCATTTACTATACATCTTCGTTAAAAAATACATGTTCTTTGATTAAATATTATTGTAAGATAAGTACAAAATTATACAATCGATAGATGCTGTAACTTCTATAATATATGATTCAATAATTATCAAGTTGCTCCTGGTTGCTGCAGTTGGACAAGATAAGCTTAATCTAATTGCTTTCCAGGGCATGGGAGATGTCTTTAATTCCAATGTCACTGGTCATTTGGAAGCATGCACGTAGCCTTATGCATAAGAGAACTTAAATAACATATACTAATTTGTGGAGGCATACTTTTGTTTTATACATAACACCGGAATGTCATTGAAAGTACTCTAATATATATGGATGTTCTGTTTTTTCATGCAGTTTATATTAATATACTCCCTCTGTCCCAATATATAAGATGTTTTAGGCCTTTTTATTTGTTCCACTATATAAGATTTTCTCTACTTTCAATGCATGATTTATATTAGTTTAATAGTTTTTAATTATTTTAATTATGGAGTATCTTCTTCTATTGGTTGAATTTTCATAAATGAGAATATATTTATTGTTTCTTAATATTTGTGCTTTTAGTTCAAACATCTAATAAAATGGGACAGAGAGAGTATAAAATATTTTGCTCCTTGGCCTAGATTCAGAACCTGTTAGTTATTTTAAAAGAAAACAAATATTATTTTTTGAGTCTACATATATAGTTTTCTTGCTGAATCGACACTTTTTTATTTACATTCTTACCAAAAACAAAAACTTACTCCTTTTAAACCTACTCCAATAATTCATGCATTTTCCGATTATAGTAAGTATTTCCGCTTTTAATGGGGAAAATTAAATGTGTCGACAAGAAAGATAAATGGCGAAAAAAACAGAGGCATGGAGTAATTGAAGGAGATTCACGTAAATGTAAACCCCTCAAACTCCAAACCAAGATAAACTAATATTTTTATTATAAAAAAAAAACTGAAAAATATATATTGTTCGTTTTAAAAGAAATTGAAGTTTTTTTCACATTTTATTTTTCCCGAATAGAACTTTGAAGAATGCTCAAAATCGAATCAAGAAAATGGATCCAAAGATGTTGTTTTGTTTACCAGAAGGAGATGCATTGTTTAATCCACTCAATACAATGTTTATTCAAATGGCTTGCATTCTCGTCTTCTCTCAATTCTTCTATCTCTTCCTTAAACCCTGTGGCCAAGCCGGTCCCGTTGCCCAGATTCTCGTAAGTTTTTTCTTTAAAAATACTTTTAAACACTTTTTTATTTTTGAAGTTTTCACAATTTGACTCCTTAACTTTAATAATGGTGAAACCAAAACCCTTGTCAATTTGACTAACGTCCATGATTTCTATTTTAAAGTTTTTCACAATTTCCCCCTGAACTTTACGAGTGTTCACTTAAACCCTGAGAGTAACCTGTCGTGCAAGTTACACAATGATATTAATAAGATTTCGTTTCAGGAAAATTGATATATTAAAAACATTCAGAAAAAACTGACGGTTTGATCATTTTAATTCAGGCTGGGATTGTGTTGAGTTTGCTCACAATAATCCGCAAAGTCCACGAGTTCTTCCTCCAGAAAGATTCAGCGAGCTATTACATCTTTTTCTCATTCCTTTTACGAACAGCTTTTATGTTCTTGATCGGTCTCGAGATTGATCTTGACTTCATAAAACGAAACTTGAAGAACTCCATTGTCATAACTTTGGGATCGTTACTCATTTCTGGCATCATCTGGCTCCCTTTCCTCTGGTTTATCATCCATTTTATGCAGATCAAAGGCGATTTCTTAACATTTTACTTAGCCTTCCTCATTACCTTGTCCAACACGGCAGCTCCTGTCGTCATCCGTTCGATCATCGATTGGAAACTCCACACATCCGAGATCGGACGGCTAGCAATCTCATGCGGATTGTTCATCGAGATAACCAACATATTTCTCTACACTATCGTCCTTTCTTTCATCTCAGGGACTATGACCGCCGATATTTTTATCTACACATTTGCCACCGGAGTTATAATCTTGATTAATAGAATCTTAGCTTCATGGCTCCCAAAAAGAAACCCTAAAGAGAAATATCTCTCCAAAGCTGAAACGCTTGCTTTCTTCATCCTTATTCTAATCATAGCGTTAACCATTGAATCCAGCAACTTAAACTCCACGCTTTTTGTGTTTTTCATCGGATTAATGTTTCCGAGAGAAGGAAAAACTTACAGAACGATGATCCAACGGTTGAGTTACCCGATTCACGAGTTTGTTCTTCCGGTTTACTTTGGTTACATCGGGTTTAGATTCAGCATCAATTCGTTAACCAAACGCCACTACCTCGTCCTTGCTATGACAGTGGCTTTAAGCCTACTGGGGAAGCTTCTAGGAGTTTTATGCGCTTGTTCATTCCTTAAGATCCCAAAGAAGTATTGGCTTTTCTTGTCAACTATGCTTTCCGTCAAAGGTCATATAGGTCTTGTTCTTCTCGACTCTAACTTGATTTACAAGGTATTACAACAAATTATAAATTTTAGTTAATTTAGTTTTTCAAGTCAGTTAATAATCTTCATCTCCGTGTTATTGGTTTTCTCTTTGCAGAAATGGTTTACTCCGGTAGTTCATGATATGTTCGTTGCGGCTCTAGTGATCATGACTTTGTTAAGCGGAGTTATGACGTCTTTGTTGCTTAGAGTGCAAGAAAAGAGTTTCGCACACATAAAAACGTCACTTGAGTTTTTTGACACTAAAGAGGAGTTACGAGTGTTGACGTGCGTCTATGGCGTTCGTCATGCTCGTGGATCGATCTCTTTAGTCTCTGCTCTAAGTGGCTGGTCTCCTGGAGCTTCTTCTTCTCCGTTCACGCCTTATCTTATGCACCTCATACCGCTCCCGAAGAAGCGGAAAACGGAATTGTTGTACCACGAATTAGACGAAGATGGAGGAAATTCCAACGGTGGAGACGATGAGTTCGGGACTAACGAAGGACTAGAGATCAATGACTCGATCGATTCGTTTACTAAAGACAGAAAAATCATGATCCGGCAAGTGAAACTGGTAGCACCGATGGAGACTATGCACGAAGAGATCTGTAACGCGACTGAAGATCTTCGCGTCTCGATTGTGTTTCTTCCCTTCCATAAACACCAGAGGATCGACGGGAAAACCACCAATGACGGGGAAGTTTTTCGACATATGAACCGGAAGGTTCTAAAGCAAGCTCAGTGTTCGATTGGTATCTTTGTGGATAGAAACATAACCGGGTTTCACCAGCTTCACGGGTCTGATTCGGTACAACACGTTGCGGCATTGTTCTTCGGTGGTCCTGATGACCGTGAGGCTCTGTCCTTGTGCAAGTGGCTTACCAATAACTCTCAGATTCACCTCACTGTCATACAGTTTGTGGCGGATGACTCAAAGACGGAGAAACTTGTTGGTGACGCGGTGACCAAGGAAAACAACGAAGTATTCTTGGAGATTGTTAGTAAAGATCAAACCGAAGACGAAACAGATCGAATCTTCTTAGAAGAATTCTATAACAGGTACCTTACAAATACTCTGTTCCTACAAAAACAGAGTACTCTGTTACTATGTCCCTACACATATACTCTGTTTCTGTATCTTGTCTTCACGAGAGTTACATTGCGTTTTTCATTTACGGGGATGGTTTTGATTTGTCTTGACAGATTTGTGACGACGGGGCAAGTTGGATTCATAGAGAAGCGAGTGAGCAACGGAATGCAAACGTTGACAATTTTGAGAGAGATCGGGGAGATGTATTCACTGTTTGTGGTAGGAAAAAACAGAGGAGATTGTCCAATGACGTCAGGAATGAACGATTGGGAAGAGTGTCCGGAATTAGGAACAGTCGGAGATTTCTTGGCTTCATCAAATATGGATGTAAATGCTTCTGTATTAGTAGTTCAAAGACATAGAAACTCATTTGATAGCTTTGTAGATGATTAGCAAATACTCTTTAGTTTTTACTTAACAAAACTTCAAATATTTTACTCTTATAAAATCAAGACAAACATCACAAAATTGAAAACATAAGAAAATGGAGAATGTATAAACTAAAAAAACTCTTAAACTCTCAGCAAACATGGCTAGTGTTTACGGCTTGATCTCTCTTTTCTTGTTCTTCCATTGAATCACAGAGACTCAAACCTTTTGTCTCAGGCAGAATCAAAACGAACAATCCTAAACCAGACATTGCAATTCCGAAAATCGCAAACGATACTGACGGTATGTATCTTCCAATCGAAGCAATTAACGGACAACAAGCTCCTCCAACAACAAGAGCCTGTCTAAACATCATTGTTGCCGAACTTCTCACACAAGTTGGAAACATTTCAACCATAAAAACTGCCATAAGGTTGAATCCAATCCTTGCGCAGAAGAATGTTCCGAGTTCGAAGGCAAAGGCGATC